GAAGTATGAGGGAAAGTATGAGTTTAAGGGACATAAGTGTCTGTCTTCAAATGGTCATTACTTCTCAACCACTTACCCATTTGCTGAGATCTTTGGCTCCGTAGAATCACAATAAAGTGGAAAAAAAAATATGGTCTAAGAATATGGTGCCCTATCATAGCTCGAATAAAACAGAATTTGCAAAATTTAAAAATTTTTACCTAAAATTTTTTTGAAAATGTTTTTTAAATTACGCATTACACTTTAACCACGTATCCATTCACCACACAAGTTAGCTCATTTAAATGTTCAAAAGAAGGTGAATTATGTTTTATAATAGCCAAAATGCAAGTAACATAGTAGTAATGTTCTTAAAATTACACTACCAAAATAAGTGTTAAATTTGCCAAAAATAGGCCTACAGATTAAGGGATAAACGAGGCAAAATGTCAAGACTTAGTCAAGGAAAATAAAATATTTTATTTATATAATTTTTATTATAACTTATTATTCCTTATTAGAACATGAAACCTTTATCAGGAAACAACGACAACGACAATATATTTTTTTTGAACTCGTGTGCGACTGGCTGAAAAAGACAGCATGTGGTCTTGTGATTGTAACTGATTTTTTTCATCCCTCTTCACTGTATACCATGTCCGTACACGAATTTTTTAATCAAAAATCGTCCAATGGTCCATTGCCGATTTTTTAAAGAGAAAACGTTCAAAAAGCGAATAGATTCGTATCTGAAATTCCTCCAAAACATTACTGACCGTGAGGGGTTGAAGGAACAGGAAATCAAGAGCACACGTCCTTTTTGACACGTATGAGAAGGCAAGTATAGCTTTTATTTTAAACAAGAAATAAATAGCGTGGACGGACTTCTTCTCGCTCCTTGTCATTCAAAACTTTTCGTTGAGCTACAAAATTATTGCCGGGGCACAGGGATCAACTGTGTTCAAGTTTTTCGCCGACCCGACTTGGTCCTATTGGGGCACTGGGGAACGAGAGCAGACTTTTTGGGGGTGAGTGTATTTTTCGTGCTTTTTTATACACCTTCAGTCTGCGAGTTTTTAAAGCTGAAAATCGCTAAATCCACAGCAATTTCTGATATATTAATATATCAAAAATCGATACCCAGGAACACGCTCTATAAAGGTGTTTTAACCAGCCTCTAGAAGCCCAAGAACTATAGTTTGTTTTCTTGACAGAGTAAAGCAATTTAAAACTTAAGAATCATAATTTGGCTTTTTTGATTAAAACAGCACCTAAAACCTTTAAGATTTGTATCAATTTATATCAATAAAACAGCTATTTAACAATTTTCTAGATAGTGAATTAATTGTTATTTAGAAAAGCTTTTATAAATTGTTAAGAATTATAATTTGTTTTCTTGACAGAGCAAGCGATTTAAAACTTAAGAGATATAATTTGACTCTTTGATTAACAAAAAACTTAATTTATATTAATTATTTGTGTAGTCATTTGGACTTTAACTGTCCTTTAAACGTCTAAAATCTATATTGTATTCTTGCTTAGCTGGAATTTCCGAAATCCCGCATTCTCGTGACTCATCACTCGAAACCAGACAATTACAATTAACATCCTCCTTAGTTTAGAAAAAGAAAAGTAGTTAACTTATTTAAGATCTGACTTTGAGAAGGTACTGCGAAAAGGCGGGATAATTAGATAGCAATGTATATTGGCTTCGAGCAATTACTGCGAGAAAGAAGCAGTGTTCTTGCTAAGCTGACAAGTATAAAACTGCAAATCATAAGACCTTTTTCCTCTCTAGTCGGAAAAAGAAACGTAGTTATAGTTGGATCTGGCTTTAAGCAGGTACTGCGAAAAGTTGAGAAATTTTGAATAAATAGATCCGCTTTCTATTAGCTGATATGAATACAAAAATCACCCTAGATTATCCCTTATTATTATTTGACGAATACTGGAACATAAAGGTAATAAAATGCCAGAGGATTGGTTAAATCGTGCCAAAAACAAGATTAATTAGATTTCAAGAAATGAATACCTTGCCTGATACTAACAATGAATATTTTATACCTACTGTATCTTCAGTATAACAGATGGAAATGGTATGTAGATGCAGTGGGAATAACTCTTGTTATAAATGTAATGAGATAATAGATATCAGTTGGGGATATTTGTAAGTGATTATCGTCAACCAACTACAACGTAATTCTGTAAGCTGTACTAAAGTAAATATATATCTATATAAGTGCTGTCACATTTGGCCTCCTGTACCATTATCAATTGGTACAATACGATATAAAACTCAACGAGAAAAGTCCTTATCGCGCTTCCCAAACGATTATGTAACGGAAAATCGGTCACGGGGATTTCAGCATCAGCCGCGACAATAAATAACAGATGCGAAGCCGCTCACCAGAACGGTTTGGAATCATTCTGTACAAAAGTTGATAATTGACAATGTATAGCACTGTCAGATACGAAGTGAAGTGAATATTGTTAATTGTTTACTTCAGTATGTCAGAAAGCACAGCAGACTATTATACATTCCCGTATAAAATACAAAAAGTATGCGTTATAGGTGCTGACGTTGCTGACTTGGTAATAGCTAAAGTCCTGATGTATATTGGGTTGAACGTAACTGTTTACGAGAGAGGTAAGATTGCATGTAAATGTTTCTTATGATTCGCGACTTTTGTTTCTGTTATCAACTAGAATATTATAGGATCATGTAACAGGGTATACTCTGAGGATACTGGACCAGTGCCCTTATTTCCGAGCACAGATCCGATCCTCCTGAGGAGATACCAGACACCGAATCATCTTGTTCTTCCCACCTTTCCTAATATCCGTAATGTATCTCCTATCTATGTCAGCCTCCACACTAATATACCAACGCCAATAATGACATATTTCAATACGCCATATCCACCGAATACACCTCTATTCCCTAATCGCAAGTCGTACTATTGTACCTGAAATCCTTCGTAAACTGAATGACGTTATTTCTTATAACATGAACGGGACGAGAGTTATCGAAAGCGAGAATGGATGGAAGGTGATTGCAAAGAAACTGAAGAGGGCAAAAAATGAACAAATACAGAACGATAAGCAAAAAATAGATCTTGTTGAGAGTAACGTGGAGATGGAGAAATTGGGGAAGATCGAGAGCCAGTCCCCGATTATAATCGAAAAGACATTGGAGCACATGGCAGTGATGACGCAGAATATGTGGCTGAATGGAGGGAGGATTTATTGCCAAAAAAAATTTGGTCACCCGAAGTATACACGTAGTTTCATTGTCGATAAATTCTATCAGTAAGTGCTAAAGTAAATTGCGCATATGTTTTCTTCGTGCATTCTCTTTTCTTAAAAACCTAGCCGAAGAAGCGCTTCTTCTCCTTTATTTGATAAAGCTAACTAAAATCGAAATAAGATCAGTGTGATATTTGTTATTTATCTGTAGATACATACATGCTTGCGCCGTTATGTTAAAATAAAATACTGCATCTACTGTTGATTGGACGACTACATCCTCTGTTCACTTTCTTACATAAGAACAATCTGACTGACACCACGTCTGCTTGACACTCCAACATAACTAGTGTTTCGCACCTTACCATTTTCATATCTAACAAACGGGAAGTTTGTTAATAATAGCATATTAACATGTATCCGACGAGCACCCAAATATATATAGTTTTTCTTCTACCAAAAGTTTATATCTCTTGAAATTCTTACAAACGCCAAACGATGAATTATTAACTCTATGTTGCAATTGACGCTTCTCCGGATAGTCTCATGCGCTGTTTCTCATCCTTTCACAGGTTATCACTTTTGACCGTCATCTACAAGGTTCTCTTGTAATATTTCAGGTTAATAATGCACGGCTTTGTTTGTTGTTGTGAGACGACACATTTCGCGTCTTGTATTCACGCGAAGGTCATACAAGACAAATTATATGCATATGTACGATACCTACTGTATATATATTATTCGGTATGTTTTTTGCAATCATCGCCTTTTCTTTCTTACGGGAACTTTTCATGGATTACGCTAAAACGAGCAATGTTGGAAAAAGCCTTCAAAAGTCTATTCTTCCTGACATGTCTATTCCCTATCGTATCAGCAAGAATACCACTTTCTGATATGTTCAATTTTGAGGCCAAAAAATATATTCCTTACATAATTGTCACTGTAATGCTTTTTATTGCATTTATGCCATATAAAAAATCCAGAGACATAAGAAGACTAATCAATTTAATTTTGGTCATATTCACAATCTTGATTTTCCCGCCTCTATTCTTTTACATGACACAAGGCTTAACTAAGCTCACAATAGTTACGATAGCTTTCTTTGGTTCATTTTTCACACTCATTATAATATTACTGCTAATCTACATGCGCACACAGAACGAGAAAATAACGTCAATTTTCGGTACAATCTGGTGCTTTCTGACATTGTTAATCTGTTCACCTTTATTTCTATACGTAACAGAAAGTTTCACTCATGTGGCAATTAACTTTCTAATTTTATTTGAAGTTTGTATTTTTACCGGTGCAATGGCAATGCTTCTTTCTTCTGTGCATAGAGATATTGCTAGTTGTTGTTTGTTAGCATCTACGTCGTTGATGTTGTCGATGCTCATTTACGGTTTAGTAATTGCCATCAAGTCTCTTCCACACAGAACATTAGTTATAGTTATAAGTATTAATTTTGGCGTTGGATTTTGTTTAAGTTGTATTTCTTGTATAAAGACAATTGGGGCCGTATTAAACCAAATTATTGGTATTATTGCGTGTGGAATTATTTTCTATGTTTTCTTTTATCTGTTACAAAATCAAGTTAACTCGGTTTCGCTTTTGCTATTCTGGACGGATTTATGGTTTGTATTAAGTTCTATTTATTCTATCATTGAACGTTTTCTCACCGGAGAAGTTGAAGGAACTTCTTTCTCTTGGGAGTTGCATGTCATGTCATAAGAACCGCATTATATTACGACTACACATATGCCTATACAAAAATATTGAAATAAATATGCATAATTACATTATTATGGCTACGCAGTAATGCTGTTATCTATATACAAACATTCATATACAATGTATAATATTAATACGCATGCAATGCGCTAACTAAGATAATACATATACGGAGGGTGGATGTTTATATTTGGCCATTTACAATGTTTTTCACACATATTGTGTATAGATAGAGGCAACTTTACACTGTGAGGGAATTGCGTAAGTTGCCTCGGTTCTAGACGATCTGCCATACGTTCCGCTTCACACTGCCGATTGTAAAACATTCATTCTTCTCTAATGTGATGATTTTATCACTCGTAACCACAAAGGAGATTAGCTTGGTTAAATAAGGCAAACCCTTGCTATATCTGGATATTCGATCGTCAGGCTGTATGCGAGCATTGTATACGATTGTGGCCGATGCGATGTAGATCCTATAATGCCCATAACCCCATGCGGTTGTGATTAAGTATAAATTTGATGGTCCATCGACACTAGGAAGCAGTTCAACTATCATTACTGTAGCCGGAAACTCAAAACTTTTAACCGGCTCAAGTATTTTATAATATACACTATTCCCTCACTAGAGTCAACACTTTGTATTCAAGCAAAGGTCATACAAGATAAATTATATGCATTTGTACGATACTTGGTATATATTTATTCGGCATCCCTTTTACAATTTTCAATTCTTTCTTTCTTTTATAAACTACGCTGAGAAGAGCAATGTTGGAAAAGACCTTCAAAATTCTATTCTTCCTGGCGTGTCTGTTCCCTATCGTATCAGCAAGAATACCATTTCCTGATATGTTTAAGTTTGAGGCAAAAAAATATGTTCCTTATGTAATCGTCACTACAATGCTTTTAATTGCATTCATGCCAATACCTTTGCTTAAAAGGTCCGGAAAAATAATCTATTTGAGAGGAATAATCTTTTTTACTTTGAGTATATTCACAGCCTTGATTTTTCCGCCTCTATTCTTTTACATGACACAAGGCTTGACCAAGCTCACAATAGTTACAATAGCTTTCTTTGGTTCGTTCATCGCACTTATCATAACATTACAGCTAATTCGAATGCGCACACAGAACGACAAAATAACGTCAATTTTCGGTACAATATGGTGCTTCCTGACATTATCAATCTTTCCACCTCTATTTCTATACGCAACAGAAAGTTTCACTCATGTGGCAATCAATTTTTTAATTTTATTTGAAGTTTGGGTTTTTACCTTTGCAATGACAATGTTTTTTTCTGCGCATGAAGTGCAGGCTATTACTGTTTGTGGTATAATAGTTTGTATGTTATTGATGTTGTCGATGTTCATTTACGGTTTAGTAACTGCGATCAAGTCTCTTCCACACGTTGATCTTCGTACATTGGTTGTAGTTATAAGTATTAATTTTGCCGTTGGACTATTTTTAAGTTGTATTTCTTGTATGCCAACTGGGGCCGTATTAACCAAGATTATTGGTATTATTTTGGGCGGAATTGATTACTATGTTTTCTTTTATATGTTGCAAAATCAAGTTAACTCAGTTTCGCTTGTACTTTTCTGGACAGATTTATGGTTGGTATTAATTTCTATTTATTCTGTTATTGAAACTTTTGTTACCACCGGGAAAGTTGAAGAGTCAGAAGTAGAATTTGATATTGGAAATTACATGTCATGAAACAAGAAAACACACTGTACTATAATTATATATACTTGTATAAATATAAAAAATATTAGTCTCACTTAGTATTAGGGAAATAAACATGTATTATGACTTGATTAATGCTTACTTTATTATTGCAACCCAGGAACACTCTTTGCTCGTATTTCAGTAAAAAATTTAAGTGTAGTCACGTTGTTGTCCAAAGAGAAGAGAAACTTTGTTGGTTAAAGCAGCGGTTTTTGAACGTAGTTCCATGTTACCAAGCACGTGATCCAACAGCAATCGTTTTATTGTAAATGCACCTTTTCTGCAGACAGTTGAAAAGCAGCTGAGCAAGGACACACGACAATCTTGATTCATGTGTCAAATGACCAGTTTGGCTTATGCACGCTCCGGACATTCTAGATTGTCTGTTTCATGAATTCAAGTTGTTTTTTTCTTAGAAAATTTGTTGTAATATAATAATAAATAAATAAGGATATTAATATGTAATAAACACTAAATGACAAAGTCAAATTAAAATATTACTTCAAGTTTATTCGATTTAAGATAATCCACTTTCAAGACTGGTAGGCTGAAATTTGGTCAAAACCAGCCAGCAAACCCAAGACATATTAATATAGTATAATATTTAATAAGCATAAAGTGTCAGCTACCACTTGAAAGTTTAGCTTGCAAATTATAGCTATGCATTGTTTTAGCATTATATATTTCGACGTTCTTTCCAACAGCGGTAAAGTTATTTTGTGAATGAAGACTATGATATATGCTGAAGTAGAAATAACATAATTATGTTATTTCCACTTAGTTTAGGTTATTCCCCTTCAACTATGACGTGTAGATCGCAAAACTCAAGTCATTCGAGTGGTGGGTGGATCATAAAACTCAAGTCGCAAAATTCAAGTCACTTGACCAATAATATATCCCTAGGTGTGACGTGTACATTGCATACCCTTTAGAAGTCAAATTCGATATCGATAATGGTTTAATTACTTATAAATTTCGTATACCGATTTAATGTTTCTGATCAATTTCCATTGAAAAAAAAATATCTGACGCAAATGCTATATCTGGTTATGCTATCGATTTGTGGGCCCAATGTGAGAGCCAGGTTTGAGGCACGTAATGCCGAAATAGTATTCGTATCCTGGTTTTGTATGATTGCATCCGAATATCGATTAACGATGAGGCACGTAGTGCTGATTTGTTAGCAATTGTTAGCTTCATATAATACATTCAAATATCGCCCAATGATAAGACAGGGAGCGCCGAATTGTTAGCAGTTGTTAGCTTCGCATAATTCTACCCGAGAATGAGGCACGTAGCGCCGAATTGACGTCATTTATTTGGTAATACGTCAAAGCACAAATTTATCCCTTATCCCTTAGACTGTTTTCCGTTCAAATTTGAACGGAATTTTGATTCACTGACAAAATCGCTTTATATCTCCTTT